CCACGAAGGTGAACGAGAGACCACGCGGAGGAGGCGGAAGATCGACTTGCGTCGGTGTCGGTACACCGACTCCGGGGCGTGGGAGGCTGAGGAAAAAGCGACGGCCTTGTAATGCGCGAGCTAAAGCAACGCGTTTTAACGGGCGCTGCCGTGCTCTAGCCTCTAATGCCCTTGCAATTGCATAAGGATCGCGAGCACCACGCACAGATGCCAACGAGTCTGCCTACGAAACTCCGGATCGTATACAATGACTCATGAAAGCATGTATTCAAATAGCTCCGATCGAAAGCGTTGTCTGGATCACGAGCTGGCCGATCACGATCGTTTTCGGCATGCTTGGTGCATTAGCCTCGCTACATCTGCAATTACAGTGGTGTGCATAATTATTCAAAATACCTTCTACATTGTTTCCGATATCGAAACGAAAGCTTAACAAAACACATCGTATTTTTATTTTATTTTATTATGAAAACATCATTTCTATTACTTCTAATAGACAAACATGCAAGTATGATATTTTGTTAAGTTTCTTTTTGAATGCACAAGCTATATCAGCTGAAGGAAGTCACCTATGGTGCTATGAATAAATTATAAATGCAAAGTAACTGTTATATTTTTACTGATATTTAAACAAAAGTCAGAAGAAAAACTGTTTGCATGTGTTTATGTTCTATTATTTCGAATGTAGAAATATACAAGTATAATATTTTGTTAAGTTTTCGTTTAGATATCACTAACAATATAAAAGTTACTTTGAATCTTTAATTATGCACGCCGATGCATTTATATGTAAAATTCATTGGACTTGATTACATTTGTTTTGAGTGCGTTGGCGTCGTGAACCAAGTCGTAGATGACAATTCAAAAAACATTATTGTAGTATTAGTATCAGGATTAATTTTTTCTTTTTGTAACTCCTTTATTAATGTCCTGATTGGTGAAACAATTGATTACATTTGTATTATTTGTTGTTATGGTGGTTTGCCAATTTCGATACATTTACCAATAATCGCTAGAATTAGTGGCCTGGTGATCAAGCGTAAAGGACGTTTCCTACGCAGTATTATTATTCGATTAATTTTACAATCGAATAATTTATTCGAATAGAAATTGACAAATTATTCGAATAAATAGTTTGAACAATTTATTACGAACAATGAATAATTGTTATTCGGATAATATATTCGACTAAAAAGAATTCATTCGAATAATACTTTACATAAATATTGTTTTCGAAATAATTCGAATAATACCCAATTCTGTGAAATATCTGCAAATATTCTGGAAATATCTGTGCATGAGAATTTCTAGCAGGTGTGATAATTTTATATATAAAATTCTTATGAATATTTTTCTCGTTAACTTTCGAGATTATGGCTTTGAATTCTTGCTGGATTAATATCTGGAAAGATACGATTTGAATCGAACGCTACATCGTCGAATTCGTGTATATTTGTGGTTTAAAAAACAGTTCTAACGCTGTTTAGGAAGTAATATTGGCAAATTAGTTTGTTTGCACGAATATTATTTCAAAGTTAAAGAGACGTCGTGTCGATGAATATTTTGCGATCAGATAGCTGTTTTTTAACCTATAGGTTCGAAAGTGACATGGACTATTATATTCGATAAGAAAAGGCCAGGGTGAAGGAAGTCGGAGAAAAATGGCTGTCCGAGCGGCTTTTATTGCATACGCTGGCTGAGCCGTTAAAGATATATCAAAATCATGTATGGAAGAATAGTTGGCTGTAAAAAGGGCTACAAAAATGTCCGCGACAGTATGCACGTACATAGGTATCTATAACGGATAGCCTGCAATAAGCAATTTTATGTTTCGGTCGGCTGTAAAGCGCAAGCGTCGAATTTACGAAACGTGTCTTCAACAAATTTTGTCATTTACATTATCGCAAATGGAATGACCGTTTCGTATATATACATCGATGTAATGTACGAATAGGAAGCCAGAAATATGTTTTCATATGAGGTATTCGGTGCGAAAACAACTCAGTCCAGTTTTCGAAGCGAAAAAAAACAAATGAAATGCTTATTAATTAAAACGAACGGTGTTTGCTAATGTAATTAAATATTTTTATACTTGACAATAAATTACGCTTAAAATAATTAATAAGCAATAAATAACGCAAAAACAGATTTACCTTGCTTTTGCGATTATCGGATATTCTTGTTGAGAAATGCAGTAATTTTGTATTTAAAATAATTAAAAAATACTGCAATAGTACGATCGTAATTGTTCGTGCACGCTTTAATTGTTCCGGTGACAACGCGAGACAAATGCAATATGATGCGTCCGATGCAAGAGTGTTCCGGCAAACTTTGAAAATTGATGAGCAAATTGTGAACGCGTATTCTAGAACTCCGTGTACTTACGCATAGAAGTTAATACGATCGTGATGGATTCCGCGCAAAAACTGCTTAATTCGAGTTAAGATGTTTTTGTACCCGATGCCTCGTACAAGCGAAAGTGTACAGAAGAAAACAACTATGCAATTCGTTTACAGTGAGGGAACGTTATTGTGGAACATCGAGATAAAAGGTGTCGTAGAGAATAGAAGGAGAGGATAAAGGAAACCGAAACAAAAAAGAAAAAGAGAAAGCGACGAAGACCGAAAGCGACGTTTCTACGCCCACGCGTGCCGTCTTAATTACAACAGGCCTGACGGACAGTTTTACGATTATACCAGTTCGAGAGGCTTCAGTGCCGGCTTATTTCCTTTTATAGCCAGCGTTAAAAAGTAATTAGGACGTTGAGCCGCAGAAGCTTGATGAGAGATGCGAACGATAACCCGAATGACGATCATGTATGGAAATGTTTCTACCATTGCTGTATCGAGATCAACGCATATTGCTTGCCATTTTGATCTAAGCGTCTACGAAATGCGAGCGTCGGATTCGTTTTCTAACGAACACATGGTACAAGCTGCAAAATAGTATGCCGTGATGGAATATCAACAACGAACATGAACATTCGACAGCTTTGCGGGCAATATTCAGATAATAAACCGAGTTGAATACCGAAGTGGAGATTCATAGTCATTTCGTGATTCATAGTCAATATTCAATTCGTCCATCATGGTAAATTACAATTTAACACACAATTTGAATTGTTCAAATTTATATACGTGCAGCGTAAAAAAAGAAACAAGTATAAAATGTAAGACAATGTAAAAAAGTGTAAAGAACAATTGTAATGTTGGAACTTCATCAACTATACGACGAATTAATATTTAACCCATGTGCGATGGAATATTTGAGTTTTTTTTATTTTTGTCTCGTTATTGGCATACTAGTTTATTTAAAAAAGATTTATACATACCCGTACACATTTTGAATAGATGTTTTGTTCGTTTGGAAATAAATGATTGTCTTTATCAGAGTTTTGAAGCTGACACTATTGTTCTCTTGCCTTTTGTTTACTTCTTGTACGCGATTCTACATCTTTTTATCTTGCGTTAATGCTAAGGTAATTAATCTTCCAAAAATATGGATTCTCAAGTCAATAAAAACGAGCATCTCCGACACGTTGTACTTTATGAGTTGAATCGTGGTTCTAAAGCTGCTGAAATTTTTTGAAATATTTACAACATTTACAATATTGATTTACATGTATGTCTTTTTATCGGCAGTCATTAGCGTTGGTACGAACAGCCCTTAAATCAACCTTTCGTTCCCAACATTAAAACTTTTTAAAATAACAGCTCATCGGTATTCATCTAAGGTTTCGTGTTTTTTGTTAAAGAAACGTATAACGGTATTTCTGAACTAACGAAAGATAATTGTGTTCGAAAATGAGATGAAATAATTGAAGTGGTTAGGCTTTAACGCATATGCGACACGAGCTCCCGTTGACCGATTGCTTCCAAATTTTGGAAGCAATCTCCAGATTGCTTTCCAAACTCGAAAGTCGACGAGTGAGAATCACCCTAGTATTCAATCGTCATGCTGCCTTACTTTCCAATTTTCATATTATTTAACCCTTAACCGTTGCGCCTATTAAAACTTACGTAATCCTTATTAGCGGTCTCGCGTGCCGTTAATATTTATTGCGTCACTATTGGCATAGAAGCGTTAAATAAAAAATCAAACTCAATTGTTCTTGCTTTGCACATTAATAATAATGGGGTCCAAATTTGATTGAGTAGAAGCAAGTGTATCAAAAACGTTCTTTTCTTTACAATTTTTTTTACAATTATATTAGCACCATAGATGAATAAGTAATTAGTAACGGTCTCACAGACCGGCAAAAATAGTTAAGGTTTATTTACTCATTTACTTACTTATTTATTTACTTATTTTAAATTCATGGAATTGTGCGAGCGTGAGGCTAGTAGTGTGAAAGTGTGGAAACAAAAACTACAGACCACAAGGACAGTGCACATGCTTGACTTACAGGCGAGGGAAGGTGGTACCAAATCCGTAAGGGGAATCTAAAGACCATCCGCCATCTTTGTGTGGCATCATAGTACTGCTACCTGTTTCTTACTTTGGAAATTACACTTGAAATTTGAATTGACCTAAAGTGTAGAGGAAATCCAATCAATACAGTGTATTCACACAGAAGAAATCCATATGTACTTACAGGTTTCCGTAGTAGCCAGTTTGATGCTTCAGTATCGCAATGAGCAGTTCGGAAGTGATCAATTGTGTTTCCTAAAAGTTCAATCTATGTCCGAGCAGTATCTAGAATGCAAAATTTTACGTTTTTGTAAAATAACGAACTCCACAAAATACCCTAGAAGTTGGCACTTTCTTCCCAATTAAGAAACAGGTAGCAGCACTATGACGTCGCACAAAGTGATTGATTCTCCTTACGCCATCGGTACCACCTTACCGTAACTAGACGCTATCCTTAATGGTCCGTGGACAAAAGCGGTCGCTCTTGTCTTTCTTCCAAAAAGCCACCGCGAACTTCTTCGCCGAGATCAGACCGAGACCGACTCAGACCGAAATTTCGGGAAACTAAAGAAATCTGTTACCTGTTACAGGTGAGAATAAAGTGCGGCCGTCCGGAACTGCAGCCGAAGAACGAGGGAACCGTTACACCTTCGGATGCAGCTGCAGCGGGGAAATCGGCGGCGGGCAGCAGCCTCGAGATGCACGCAGCTGCGCCTCCTGTCACGCATAGAACATTACCGACGCAGTTGCACGTGCAGCTGGGTAATTTCTTGGCCAGTGTCGTCAGGTCCCGGACCTTCTACGGCACTCTCGCCGACCTGATCTGCGAGGAGTATCCCGACAAACGGTGTTGGAATGGCGAGCACGTCGGAGAGTGAGTACACTTGCCGTTTTATCCCGCGGCACCAACAAACTGCCGGTAGTACGTGAATTATCGCGACGGAACGCCTCGCTATGCCTATACGTCCGCGCTTTCGCGGGCCGGAAGTATTAAAATCATATTCAAATACGAGCGAGACTTTTACGAGCTGCGATGCTTTTAACGCCGCCCACTCTTTCCTTGGGAAACTTCGGCCGAACGTCGACAACGACGACGCCGGCGTCGACCGGCTCCTACATACTGAATATTTCGAAGAATTCCGGACACAGAATCGGGAACCGCATCCTCCTCGCAAAAATGAATCTTTAAATCACGCCGAGGAGCACGACAGTTTCCAGGAATACCAAAATTCTGGCGAATCCTCGGTCGATATGGAACATTCTCAGACTCTGATAACTTTCAAGTGATAATTAACGAGATCACTCGTGCTCTATTTAAATGCACAAATTTCTCATTATTAGCCCCTTGCTGTGACATCTTCTTTAAAATTTAAGTAACTCTGCCAAAAATTGGAAGAGTTATCCCGTCTTAACGTTTAAACGGAACTCGGTAGACGAGGCTGGGATCCATTTCGGCCCAGAGCATAAATACCGTCATTTGACTATCAGTTTCTGACTGTTAATTTTAGTAAAAAAAGAAAGAAAGAAAGAAAGAAAGAGTTCTCTGAGACATGTGCGGAAAAATTGGTAAATCAACATCTAAATGATCCTGAGCACATTTAGTTATACTTTTGTCAAAAGACACATCTGAATGTTAAATGGCGTGCGCCCACTTTTGCACGTCGCTGTATCTCGATGCAAAACAGTGACCCACGAACGAGAGAACAGATTGACCAGGCAAAAGGAATGTGGTTCCGATAAGCGTTCAACAACAGTATCAATGTTTAGAGTGAAACAGCTCCATCTGTGACACGTATTTTCGTTGATGCCTGGAACGGCCGCGTCTGCAAATCGGATTGCGCGACGAAGAAACTACGAAAGTGTCAAAGGCGGGGTCAAGCGGGACGAACGAAGTGCCTCTCTTGCCCGTATGTCTAGCTATAGCTTGTCATCTCAGCGCAGTACGCACTCGCCAGATTATGGCGTAGAGTACTATGCCGCAAGGGAGCCTGTCAACGAGGCTTAACAGCCCCTAACGTGCAAGCGCGTTAGAAAATAGATTGAATCGCGCATCGTCGCAAGGCCGAATCTGATCGTCCGAGGTACAGCAATCCTGCGACCGAGATAAGTATCATGCGGACGAATGGATTGGCTCCCAGAAGAAGCTAGAGCTGTAAAAACGCATTGTGGCGATGACATATAAAACCGTCGCAATGTAATATCGTCCCGAGACGAGAAACCAAGGACCTTAGTCGTAGGAAGAAAGGGTTTTTCGAGGAAGTCGTTGGTTTTAACGACAGTCGGTCTTGCCTTGATAGCTACCGCAACTGATGTGTGCAAATCAGTGTGACGACAGAAATGTAAATTCTAGGAAGTAAAAAGGATCTTCGAGACTCCTTTAGGTACCGATTAGGATCCTTTTCGTCTGCGAAAAAATCGAGTCTTTTATCTACAACATTCGATGAACAGAAAAGATGCTTTATGCAACCACATTGAACGTACAGGGTTTTTAACCAGTTAATCTCTTTGAAAACTTTATAAGTCACCGTAATCGTATCGTATATATTTGATTTTCTTCATACTTTGTTTTTAATTAGAACACTTTTATAAAATATATAATTTTTTTTCTTGATCAGTTAGCTGTTTTTGACGAATCTACTAGTTATAAAGAAATGGCAACATTTTCTGTTATGACGAGTATACTCGTCAAAAACAGCTAACCAATTGATATAAAATCTATAAAATATTAATCTCATACATCTAATAAATCTAATGTGTATGATGAACGACATACGAGAGATACGAAAACAAAGTTTTATGTAACTACATTAAACACACAGGTCTTTAACATGAAATGTTTTACAGTAAGTTCAAGATATTCCGTATCAAGAAAATCGTTATTTCATTTTCCAAAAATATTGCGTTAACGAGACAAAAAATAACAAAATTAGTCATTCAGATATAATAAGCTGCTCTGCTTATCTTGTTACATATAATATCACTTTCCTCTCATTATTCTTTTGCCAGCACTTGCTTCTTTACAACTATAGATACTGGTAGAAACAAATGATTTTAGCTGACTGCATCCACTGCTAGTAGATATTATGTCAGGATTCTCTAATATAGTATTTCCCATTCGGCACGTATCCCATATAGGGCAATATGTAATATTGAACGATAGAATATCGGTTTCATCTAAGAAAAACCAAAACCAGCAATCTAATAATTGTTTAATACTCTGTCCTGGATTTCGACTAAATGACATTATATTTCACGACGAATTTAGACCAATTTAGACGAATTGAAGCTTGGATTAATAATTCAATATCACTATCGGATGGAAACTCAAAATTAGCTCGCTTCAATCTGTTAGATTGAGACACTTTTTAATGAAAAATGTAAATTGACGATCCCGTGCGAAGTTTAATTCTGGCTGACATTTTGACGGATTAGCTAATTGTCGAAACTCGGTTATATAAGATGTATTATTTAAATTTCGTAATCTATTTTACTTGTTATATTATCTGAACTCGAGTACAAAATGTTTTGCTTATTATTGGTTAATTTTCATTTAACCCACTCGTAACCGCTGCTGTGCCGCGTGAACTGGCTCAAACCGAAATCAGTGAATGACCATAACGAGTTAAATCGCTCGATCAAAATATGGGCTATTATTCCGTCCGCCACGACTGTCTCTTGGCATTATTGTTTAGTAATATATATATATATAATTAATAATTATTAATTATATATATATATAAATTGAAACTTCAGAAAGTTACACTTAAAGTGGTAACCGATTACAGAAATCATTCCAAAGCTACAACTGTGAGGAATGATAATACGCGTCTTAATATTCCGTAAGCATCGGGAAATTTTAAATTGCTAATATTTAGGTATTACAAATTAGAGAAAAATTCCTTTCTATCGAGCCAATTATGCAGAACATATTTATGTAGACCTATGTTTAATTCTTCTCGCCTGTACGGCAGAGAGGTATGGATAAGCTGTTCAGCATCAGAAACAATCGTCAAGAAAGCGAATCGGTTCGCAATATGCATGGAGTTTAGACGTCGGTGATCGAGTCATCGTCGAGGAATGATTTCCAAGCACGTACACAGTTTTCCTCCTTCCTCGTTGACTCCATTTCCAGTGTCCCTTTCCTGTTTCCTCTACATATACAGGGTGGGCCGAAATTCATAGTACAACCGAGTACGTGATTCTACGAGAAGAAATGAGAAAATAATTTGGTATCTATATAACATTTTTGTATCCGGGACTCCGTTTTCGAGAAAATCGACTTTAACAAGTTTTCATTTGTAAAGGATTTAATTGTCTATTTTGCCGCGGTCGATCCATCCGAGATAGTTTACAAACATTAATTGCTGCGAGCTATTTAAGTACTGTCCGACCCTTATAAGTCAGTCATTTCGGCAGAGGGCTATAGGGGGTATTCCGCTCGCGTTGCCTGATCTACACGCCCGTAGTCCCCACTTTTCTCTGACCTCCCGAAACCCACTTCTATTGATAAACGAGAAGACCCACAACCTAATCGATCCGAGGAGCAAGGGGATCGGGCGTCCGCTTCGCCTAATCACGTCTCTTGTTCAGCACGTTACTTAGCCAATTATGAACAGAAGTTTGGAATAATAAAAAGATGGAAGACGCTAGGTGGAGCTTCATTTCCCGATACAACATAAATATAAGAAATATGTGCATAATACAGCACGTTTGCTGCCCAATGCAATGAAAAGTTAATCAAGACGTTAATTAGAAATAGTCACGCGTTAATCAGAAGAATCTGAAGTTAATGCTAAAAGGGATAAGTCAATGCTCTTGCATCTTGTAATTGTTGCGTCTATTTTACTTTGTCTCGATTGTTCTACGCCCTCTGACCTCCATCGCGCGTCTCGCGAATACGCGCGCCTTGCTAATACACGCACACACAGAAAGCGCAGGCACACGCGTCTGATGTGCTCCTGGCCGAAAATGCCGACCACGGGTGAGCGAGACATGACGGGAGTCAGGAGGCGTTGTTTGTTTTTATTCGGCCGAACTCGAGCTCCTCGTTTCGTGGAAATTCAGTATGGCGGCTAATTTGGGGCCAATAGGAAGGGATCGTTTTTGCCAACAAGGGAAACGCGTTTTACCCTACTTTTGCGATGGCGTTAACATGGGTGGTTTGGTGGGAATCTGTCCTACACTTTTCTCAACTGACTTCTTCCGAGCAATGGTCAGTAGTAAACAAAATATTTCCATCACTGTCAACGTTTGTAAACACTATCTCGTACATTTCTAAACACTATCTCGTACTATCTTGTACTTACCTATCCACTAGAAACAATATATGCATTTACTAGTTTCAAGTTCTATTTGATCGCTAGGAACCGCAGTTAATTTCAAATAAGAAGCTGTGTCTAATAATAGAACAATACAGATAACCAGAAACGGTGCACAGGCCACAACTGATATATCTACCCTGTATCATTTTCTGTCAAGATCGAATCGCGTTTGCTACACGCAACGGTTACAAATAAGTTGCATCAAATGCGCAAGAAACGACGATTTGCATCCCGTGACTGGACTTGATAGTTCCTCCAATCCTCCCTTCCTGTTTCTCGATAGTTCCTCCAATCCTCCCTTCCTGTTTCTCGATAGTTCCTCCAATTTCGCAGAACCGAGACGAGAATTTGCAATTGCCAGTGCGTCGTTAATCGAAACTTAAAAAGCGAAACTTCAAAACTGATTCGACAGACTTCCAACGTGTACCGCGTAATCATAATTCGACGTATCGAGTGTTATGTACGTTCGAATAGTTTGTGACATTTTAACGCGCATAATGATTAGACTGCTGACTTTTATGCAAAATAAAAGTTAGTTAATCACTTAGGATTT